ATCTTCATAAAATATTGCCCAAATCTTCTTATTCCTACCAAGAACACCAAGAACATTCATCCATATCTTCAAATCTTCAAGCCTCCAACATAAAACATTCAAGCTCTCACCGAAAACCCCTTTGGCACACCGAAAACAACTAGCAACACTCCAAATAATTTCGAATAATATTTGTAAGTATTTCTTACATAATTAGGGTGTTGTTTAACACTTTAATTATTTAGTTAAATATTTGATCTATTATTTAAATTAATATCTTGTTAATTTAAATGCGACGTCAAATATAATTATTTTAGGATAACACTATTCTCACGTACGCTAGACCAATGATCATGTCTAAAGTTTTGCTATTCGAGCGCGAACACGCACTAGAGGTGAGTTCATATCCCTACTTTTTAACTATTTTTTCTGTGTTTTTAGGGATACCGGGGGGGGGGGGGGGGGGGGGGAGGGATACAAGTTAAAATACAAGGAAATATTGTGTTAAAATTTCAAATGATTTCAAACGGTTTCGAACCATGACAAACTATTTCAACTGATACAAACTATTTTAAACCGTTTCAGACTACTCCAACCATTTTATACCTTGATTTCTCCAAAGTACATGAAATATATATATATATATATATATATATATATATATATATATATATATATATATATATATATATATATATATATTACACCAAGTACAAGTGAAAGCACATTGCAATCCTTGTTGTATTGTGTCCTCTACTGCCTTAAGGGCATGATTATAAGCTAATAACTAAGTATAGTTTAGTACATATATTAAATTAAGCTAATATATGACAACATAAGTTAAAAGTTAAAAGTTCAAACCATCAAATAACCACCATATATGTGTTTTCGGTCATATACTTCTAGAACAAGTGGTTTTCGGTCCCAAAATATTAAAAATAATTAGATTTTGGTCCAGCAAATGAAAGCAAAAGTAGTTTTCGGTTTTAGAATGAGGAAACATAGAGATTTCGGTCTTATAGGACCGAAATTAATCACCCCTTGTATAGCCTACAACATAACTAAAAGTCCATTAGGGACCGAAAACCCAAAACTAATGGCCCTTTAAGGCCGAAAACACAATTCTCTCTCTCTCTCTCTCTCTCTATATATATATATATATATATATATATATATATATATATATATATATATATATATATATATATATATATATATATATATATATATATGATCAACCGTAAACACTCCTCATTTCTCATTTTGTGCACTGAAATCCCTCTCATTTTGCTCTCAAAACTCATCCATGAACCTTCATATCTTCATAAAATATTACCCAAATCTTCTTATTCCCACCAAGAACACCAAGAACATTCATCCATATATATCTTCAAATCTTCAAGCCTCCAACCGAAAACACTCAAGCTCTCACCGAAAACCCCTTTGGCACACCGAAAACAACTAGCAACACTCCAAATAATTTCGAATAATATTTGTAAGTATTTCTTACATAATTAGGGTGTTGTTTAACACTTTAAATATTTGATCTATTATTTAAATTAATATTTTATTAATTTAAATGCGACGTCAAATATAATTATTTTAGGATAAATCTATTCTCACGTACTCTAGACCAATGATCATCTTTAAAGTTTTGCTATTCGAGCGCGAACACACATTAGATGTGAGTTCATATCGCTACGTTTTCACTATTGTTCTATGTTTTTAGGGTGAGGGTGGGGGGGGGGGGGGGGGATACAAGTAAAATACAAGGAAATATTGTGTTAAAATTTTAAATGATTTCAAACGGTTTCGAACCATGACAAGCTATTTCAACTGATACAAACTATTTAAACCATTTCAGACTACTCCAACCATTTTATACCTTGATTTTTCCAAAGTACATGATATATATATATATATATATATATATATATATATATATATATATATATATATATATATATATATATATATATATAACTCGTTAGATAAATCTTTAACCATTTTGTAACATGTCGAGCAAAAAGGCTATTTTTCTCAAATATTTATTGTGTTATACAAATTGTTAAATTTTAAGATTTTCATCGTATATAGAACGTACATTTAAACTATAATAGGTATAGTTTGTGAAACACTATGCTATTTTACAAGTTCAAGAATACTATACAGAAACAAGTATATTAACTTTAATAGGTATAGTTTATGGAACACTACTTTATATTACTAATTCCCGAATATATCACTAAAATAATTATTTAAGTATAATTATTTTACATTACAAAGTATACTAGTATAAGGTAATACATATAGTTTCAAGTACAAGAGAACACTATAACACTACACGTAAACTAGTTAATACAGGGTTGTGAGGCACTACTTCGAGGTACCTATCAAGGTACAGGTTCAAGTCCTATAAATTATAACCATAGTCTCCTGGAGGGAGAGCGTGGAATTTGTGTATAGATCTATACGAGACTGACAATCCGGCACCCGAGCTGCTTTCTACAGTTAGGCCGACAGGCCTGGGGTGACAAATGTCATAATAATCCGATGCCTGAAGAACGTCATAGAGGCCACTAGGTCATGTTAGCATGGTTATATGAAACCCACAATAGTATTAACTAAATAATGTTTACGAGATTAACACTAATTCAAATGATTTATTTATATAATAGCACTACATCACGATACACTATTTTACAGTACAACTGGTGGATACCAGTCACTTTCATACAAAGGGTTTTCATACCAGTGCAATACAGTAAACTATTTACACTATAGCTGAAGAATTCCAGGCATTCATACAAAAGGTTTCATACAAACACTACTATGATACATTACTTTTCTAGTATAGAGTACACTAGCTCAACACACAATTCAAGGAAAATGTTCATGATATGGTTTATTTATTAATAAAACTACAAGTATACTATTTCAGAGTACATTAACATGCATACATTTTGGTTTTAAGGTCTAAGACTACATCTCATGTTACTAAAGAAAATATTAGATTTTCTGGAGGAACATACTAAGGTTTCCATGGAACAAAGTACATGCTTTCTAAATAAAATGCTTATGAACTCACCAACTTAAATGTTGATACGTTTTAAAAAATCACTTGTATTCTCAGGAAACTAGTAGACATGTACACACACATGTTTTGAGAAGACGGACCATAGTAGGTTCAAGTCTTTGTTTTGCTATTCACTTTTGGAGTCAATCATATGTGAATCGAATACAATGTAAACTTTATATTATTAATACAATGGTTGTTATTGCTTTGATTACTATTATACATTTGTGGTGATACTATACATGACGTCCTCCGCCCCTAAAAGTTTCCGCCGTTCCGGTTTAGGGGTGTGAGGTTATATATATATATATATATATATATATATATATATATATATATATATATATATATATATTGATAATGTGATAATGATAAGTTAGATTGTAATGCTTCTAATGCAACTTGTTTTGTTTCTAAATATACTTGGCATAGTCGTTTATGGCATCCTTCTGATCAAGTGCCTTCTGTTTTAACATCTTTTTTTTTGGAAAATGAAATTACCTGAACCTTGTGAAATTTGTCACAAGGAAAAACAGACTCATGATCATTTTCCTTTAAAGTGATCACATGTATAGTGAAGTTAGGGGATTAATTCATCGTGATGTTTACGGTCAGTATAGGATTCAAAGTAAGGAAGGTTTTAAATATTTTTTAAACCATGGTTAGATGATTATTCCAAGTTGTTTGGTTGTTCCTTTTAAAATCAAAAGAAGAAGTTTTTGAAAACTTTCAAACTTTTACCAAATTTTTAATTTGAAAAAAAATGTGAAAACAGTTAGAAGTTATAATGGTTCAGAATTTCTAAATTCTTAGTTTGATAACTTTATTAAAATTGAAGGAATTATCCATCAAAAAATCTGTGTATTCTGCTCAACAAAATGACATAGTTGAGAGGAAACATAGACATTTACTTAATGTTTCTAGATCCTTATTGTTTCAAGGGGGATTCCTCTTTTTCTATGGTCTGAAACAATTTTTATGACTGCTTATTTGACTAATAGACTTCCATCCTCTGTTTTAAAAAGGGAAGTCTCCATTTGAAATCATTTATGGCCATACCCCAAGTCTTGATCATTTGAGGAATTTGGGATGTTTGTGTTTTGCTACAAAGATAAAATTAATAGATAAATTTGAATATAGAGCATAAAAATACATTTTTATTGGTTATTCTATGTTAAAAAAGCTTACAAACTTTATAGCCATGAACAAGTATATCTTTTTTTCTAGAGATATTATGTTTTATGAACACATATTTCCCTTTAATATGAAAGCTCACTCTAATGTTCAATATGATTTTGGGATAATGACTTGAGAGGGTAACATACTATTGCTTTTGGTTACATTTGGTCACTAAACTTTTTTTCGTGCTCTAATAGCCATTTAACTTGTTGATTTATGTAAAATTCCCCCTATGACCGATTATAGCCGGTTTCAATGGTTGCATCGGTTTGATGTGGCTTTTTTTTATTTTTTTATTTTTTATATCCTAGGTGGTCAATGAGGTCGCATGTAGGCCCCAATTTTGCCTCCTATCCTCACTAAAGTTAAGAGTGAAGTCTCATTTGGTCCTTAAATTCGATTAGGGCACCAAGTCTCATTAACCCTTGATTTTGTATCCTTCAATCTTCAATCAGTCTCTATAATGGCTTCATCATAATGTTCCACTGATCGAAACTTCATTGTAGTGGATTTCCACTACAATGGAATGTTTGCACCCAACCCATTAGTATACTTTGATCCCTACAAACAATCAGTAGGAGATGTTGACTTCAGTGCATTTAAGTACGAGGAGTTCATGGAATTCCTTTAGAAGCTCACCAGAACATGAAGCGAAGACATCTACTTCTGCCTTCCACAAGTGTCTTTAAGTCAGGGAATTCATACACTAGTGAATGACGGTGATTACAAAGAATTTTTGGATTTGGCTTATGCAAATGAAAGGAGAATGAATGTGTATGTGGACAACTATAATGAATCAATGTTCGAATGGATTGAGGAAGAGGAAAATGAAGATCAAGACTATAGCTGTGAAAAGGATGAAGACTCAATCTTGTCAGTCACTTATTCTATTGACCATGAAGAAGATGATGCTGAATATCCATTCCCAGCCAACAAAACCATGGGTGACAGGTTCTTAAACAAATTTTGTCTACATAGATTAAATGTAGATGATCTATATGACGATGCTGAATATGTTCAACCTCAATACCCTGTACATGATGATAGACAACCATGGAATCGGATGAAACCACTGTTAGGTATGCGATTTTCTAACCCTGATGAGCTTAAAAACATGTTGAGCAACTATGCAGTTGCTAATGGATATGATCTTTGGTTTGAAAAAATGACTCCTAAAGGTTGTTAGTTAGGTGTTGCAAAAAAACAAGTCACCTACTTCTCCATTTAGACTTTGGGCCTCTTGGATGAGTAAGGAGAAGACTTTTCAGATAAAATCTTTAGTTAGTGAACATAATTGTAGCAGGGTGTTTAAGTTTGGGTCCATAGTAACTTATACGTGGTTAGGCAAATAGTTTATGAGTGAAATTATAGAGAAGCCAAAAATAAGTGTTAGGAAGATGAAAGCTAAAGTTTCAACAACATTCAATATAAATGTGAGTGTAGGGCAATGAAGGAATGCAAAGAAAATTGCATTATAAGAAATTAAAGGAAGTCTAATTGAACATTATGGGAGATTATGGTCATATGGTCATGAAAATTTGAGGACAAACCCTGGGTCTACTGTGAGGATGGATGTAGACATCATGCCAGATTCCACAACTTTGTTTTCTAAGTACTATGTCTGCTTTAAAGCTATAAGTGATGGTTGGAAGGAAGGGTGCAAGCCTGTGATTGGCCTTGATGGTTGCTTTTTAAAGGGTATTGTTAGGGGAGAAGTTTTGGTAACTTTAGGGAGGGATGAAAACAACCACATCTACCCTATAACATGGGCTCTAGTTGGGGTTGAGAACAAGGCCACATGGAAGTGGTTCATAGATCTCCTCATGGATGACATTGATGGTGGTCTTGGTGTAGGCATTACCCTTCTTTCTTATGGACACAAGGTAAGAATTGGTTCATATTTATACATCTGTTATTATGCATGTTTCACTAAATTTATTGTTGTTATTTGTAGGGATTGCTAGAAGCAATAAAAGAAAGGTGTCCAGAAGCTGGACATAGACAATGTGCCAGGCACATTGTGGATAATTTTGCTAAAAGGTTTACTGATCAACATTCAGGAAGCTTTTTTGGAGGGCTGTCAAAGCTAGTACTGAACATAAGTTCAAACATGTAATGGAAAAGATCAAATATTTAGATACTCAAGCATATGACTACCTTATAGATATAGATCCTACTACCTGGTCTAAGGCATTTTTTAAAGAGGGAAGAAATTATGATGCAGTTGAGAATGGGGTGAGTGAGAGTTTCAATTCTTCTATTAGGCATGCTAGAAGGAAACCAATCATCACTATGCTAGAGGAGATTAGGATATTTGTGATGGAGAGAATATACAGTCAAAGAGTAGAAGGAATTGAATGAGATTTGACTATCTATCCAAGTATTAGGAAGCTTATACAAGATTTGAAGGTTAAACAAAGGTAACATGTAGTTTTACAATTCAACAAATGGTTTTTATTTGTTTTGTGTTATTAGTTATTAATTTGTAGTCATTATTGCCTTATACAGATTGTGGGGGGTTACTCCTTGTAGTTATCAAAAGTATGAAGTTAGGTTCGATGATGCAGCATGTGGAGTGGATCTAATCGCAAAGACTTGTGCATGTAGAATATGGCAACTTACAACAATACCATGCTTACATGGAGTAGCTGTAATCTCTTCCCTGAATCAAGATGCAGAAACATATGTGTCCCAATCATACAATAAAGAGGCTTATCTAAAATGCTACAATTATAGCACTAACCCTCTCAATGGTAGTGATATGTGGCCAGAAGTTCCTTCTCGAAAGCCTTTGCCTCCTAGAAGAATAAGATTACCTGGTAGGCCATTAGTGAAAAGGAAGAGGGATGCAGTGGAAAAAGAGTTGAGTGGACCAGTTAGACATTCTGTGACAAGAAGAGGAGCCCTGATAAGGTGTAGTATTTGCAAGGAACCAATCCATAATAAGAAAAAGTGTCCATCCAAAAAACAAAAAAATACATCAGGTAAATGTCCCAATCATCTGAACATAATACATGATTTTAATAAGTAATTGAGACTTCAATTTTTTGCAACACCAAGTTCCTCCAGGGGTAGTGGATCAGGACCAAGTCAACCACCACCAGTAGCAGCAGCCCAACCATCTCAACCAACACCAGCAACAACAACTCAACCAGCAGCAACAACAACCCAACCACCTCAATCACCACCAGCAGCAGCAACAGCTGCAAGGCCTGTCCCAAGAATGGACCCAATTGGTAGAAGTGGACGGAGGCAATATTCTGAAAGGATTGTCAAAATGGCATTGAGGAGGAACATACCTGGGGTCGGGAGCAGTGCAGAGAACCCTGCAGTCCTTGATTAAGTTAGTGTGTAGGTAGTTGGTAGGCACATCTTTTATTATCAAGTTGTGATGTAAAGACAAAGTACTATGTTTTATTTATGCTTTTCTTTTGGGTATATGGGCACATGGTGGCCCTTATTTTGTGGTCCCTAGTAGGAATCTTTTTTCCTATCTTTTGTGTATGCATACAACTACTTACCCGTTATTTAATTTCAAATATTGTTGGAGTATTTCAATGAATCCAACCACCATATTCAATTACTTTCTTGTTATGTCTATGCATTGTTGTCTCATTGATTCCATTACGGACAAAGAATGGAATCATATATTGTTAGCTTAGCTAATATGACTGTAATCAATTTTAACTACAAAGGGTAGTTTCGCCATTTTTTACTTTCTCGTCTGTTACAAGTTAATTAGATGTCTTGATGTGTAATGTTATTAATTGTACATATATGTAATAGTTCAGTAGTTGTTCAGAAGAGAAATAAGAAAAAGTTTATTTTCAATCATCCTTTTCCCTCAAACCAATCTTTTGAACAAGAACATATATGTATTCATTGTTATATGTATGCTACTTTGTGATTCCATTCCAGCCAAAATTACTACATTATGATTCCATTCAAAATTACTTCTTTCTAATTCCAGTCAAAAGCTTAGCTAATATGACAGTTAATCAATTTTAACTACCAAGGGTAGTTTCGTCATTTTTTACTTTCTAGTCCGTTACAAGTTAACTAGACGTCTTGATGTGTAATGTTATTAATTGTACATATTGTTGGATAAGGTGTCTAAGTCCATAACTTATTTGGTATATACTTGACCCGATCGGCATGGTCCATTTGGGTTGCATTTCATCCAAACTATTTATGGATAATTTTATGAGAGTTATACACATATGTTTATTAATATATTATAAGTTATAATCTATTAATATGAGGTTATGTTATTTAATTAGTTTTAGTCTTAAATTAGTTATGAATTAATTTAGAGATTAAAAGGAAGACTAATTAGATTATGGGCTATTGGTTTTATACAGTGTGGGCTAAGGCTCTTTTGTTAATGGGCTAGGCTTATATGGAAGTCCATGGATGATCCATGGAGCTTTTAACCCATGGATCCTTGGAAAAGGAAAGGTCATGGGTTATTAGGGTTTCACCCTAACCATGCACACTATGTAAGCATGCTTATGGAGCATGAAATGGAGCCTAGTGTAACTAGTGAACTAGTGTGTGTGAGCTTGTGTGTGGCCGAAATATACAAGTGTATATACTCTCTCAAAGTTTTCCAAGAGTTTGTGGTGTTTTGTGATTCCATTTGAGGCATTCACACTATTGGTGCTTGGCCCTCAAACTCCTCAAGAACCAAACTCATCAAAAAGGTATGTAATCTCTTCTAACTCTTTATGTTGAAATGTTCCCCATGCCATGTTAGATAGGTTATAAACCTTGGAAAATTATTATTTTGCATGTATTTAGACAAACATAGATCCAAGGTTTATTAGGGTTGCATGCACACTTAGGAAGTGTTAGATTGCTCAAAACCCAACAGTGGTATCAGAGCCTAGGCTTGCTTGTTTGAATACTTGATGCAAATTGCTGAAAATCGAAATTTTATGCTGTCTGCACAGCTGACTCGCCGAGTCCATGAAGGGACTCGACGAGTCCAAGGCAAAACTCATCCAACTCGGCGAGTTGGTTCATGCACTCGACGAGTTGGACCCCAGACAGCATATCTTCGAGTTTTGGTGCTGGAATTGGTCTAGAATCATTACCTTAAACTGTTTTGGACTCATAAAACCTGTTTTTGATGTGGTAATGATGATGGTGGACCAATTTCAAAGTTATAATCAAAATTTCAATTTTATATGTGTTCATATGATTCTTGAAATTGTTGATGTGGATGTTCATGTTCATATGAGTTTTGTTAGATCATAGGAATTATTTGCAAATTGTTTGTTAGTTAATTCTTGATCTTAATGTGTTTTAATGGAATTCTTAATTTGTCCTCAAGTTATGGAATTCCAAGAGTTTTCTTTTAAATGTTTTTTTAAGAAGTTGTAGGTTACATTTTCTTGAAGAGTTTTTCCATAAATGTTTTATGGACTCCATAACTTGTCCTCAAGTTATGGATTTCCAAGAGACTCTTCATTAAAAGCTTTAAAACACTTAATTAAAACTCATAAGTTATGAATATCCAAAAGTTTATGAATTGTTCAAAACTTGCCCTCAAGTTTTGGAATTTGGAAAAGTTTCACACACTTTAATAAACTTTAATTCCAACACTTAGAATTTTAAAAGTTAAAATTCAACACTTATACTATTATAACATTAATGGTTAATTATTATATATATGTATAAGAACAAGTCGTTTTACCGTTAGTAGGCCTCATTCACGAAGCCGGTCTATAAGGTGGGTATAAGGTTGTTGCCTATAAAATGGCGACTTAATGGGTGTACTCTCACCCACCGCTTGCTTGATCGGTGGAGGGTCGTTAGCCGAACGGGTAGGACAATGACTTTAAATTCTCATTAAAAGTATAATGATTATTATAAAGTAACTAAATATTTTTTATTTAATTCCCAATCTTAGTTACTTTAGGAAAAATGTGAATTTGGTGCTAGCCCATGGAATTCACACTTTGTACCTTACCAAGTCGTTGGTGGAGCGTGTGTGGTAACCGGCACACTAACTTGGACTAGTAAGGATCACGAAGGGTGACTTAATGTTTGTCATAGATCAATGGAGCGTGTGTGGTTAACCGGCACATTGATTAGGTGATAATATTAAGGGTACCAAGTGAATTGGTATGGTTATTCACACCTTGTTTTGTGATCCTCGGCATCCCAGTCACAAAATTTGAGAGGGCACACTCGAGATTGAAACATGCCATTGAAAAGTTCAATGAATCTCAAAAGATCTAGGAATTTCAAATCCAATTAAAACCTAATAAATTATTTCGTTTTTCATGGTGGAAATTGGTGAATCGTCATTCGCCTACCTTCAAATATTTTATAGCTTGGATTACGGCATCCCTCTTCCAAATTATAAAATATTGTGTTGGGTCCTAGCCTTAATATTTCATATTGGGTGTTATATTAAGGATTTTGAATCAACTAACTTGATTTTCTCCCATTATAGATGTCTGGTTCAGACAACTATGATCTTCCCAAATCTCTTGAAGATGGTGTCCCTCAACATCATGCTTCACTTCCTCCACCTCCTCCAATTATTCTCCCTCACCCACAAGTTCTTGAAAAGTTTAAAGTCACTCAATCCCTATTGGCAAGCATAGTCTATGTGTGCTCACATCTTGGAGATAAAGTCACATATTGACAAGCCGGGAGAGTTGGGTGTCAAAGTCTCGTGAAAGTTGGATGTTCAATCACTTTCTTAGTAACATAGTGAGTCTCTTTGGGACTACTATGAGACAGACTATGACATGACCCTTAATGGTCTTATCTATTTGCTTGGTGTTGTGGAATCAGCAATGATTTGGAACACCAGTAAAGCAAATTTGATTAAAAGAACAACTTCCCAAAGTCTTAAATGGACATTGACAATGGTAGCATTGGATATCTAGAAAAGGATTTCTCTTCCCAATGGAAAGGGATCGGCCATAGTCAACTCGGTTGACCAAATGGTAAAGAGAAAGGCTAAGTCTGAGATAGTCTCATGTGCCATTACCAAAGGGTCCATGTGTTTTGTTGCCAAAGGAAGGGGCATTGGTTGCGAAGCTGCCCTATTCACCTGAAAGGTCATAAGATTGATCAAGTCAAAAAGTTTGACTCTACTTCAGTTAAAGTCCACTGACTAACTCTATTAAGTTCCTATTTGGAGATTCTTATTACATAATGTGAATGGGTCACATGTTGATGTTTTTAAGAATCAAAGAAAAGATAGGAAGCTTAAAGTAAGTATATGTTGATTCTGATTGCGAAGGTGGGTTTCGATCGCATGGTTCGGTAATCAGAATTTTGAGCTGTTGCTTAAGAGTTATAATATATTGCTTATGAATAGATAACAACAAGGTTTTCATGTGGATTGTAAGGATAAGTTTTTCCGCAAAGTTTTAAAATAAAAGAAAAAAAGGGTTTTAATTTTATTTATTTTAAAAATATCCTTACAATGGCATCTGTGGAAAATTGTTGCTTATATGTTTCCAGTAATAGCAATATTGGAAAGTGGATTTGATTCTTTCATTTGTGGTAGTGTCTGAATTTACCAAATGAAGAAAGTTTTTCATCACCCAAGTTTCAATTGGACAGAAACTTGGAATCATACAAGTTGTATTGTATGATGAATGAGAATTTTCATCTTTGAAAATTAAGACTAATTCTTTGATCACATGTATATGTGAGTCAATTGAAGGACTAAGGAATTAGGTACACTGGGTGTGCGCTGGTCAAGGTCCACCACAAAGATTGATTTGTCATGATTTACTAAAGATTAGTAAATATGATTATACTTATAAGGTTAAGTATAATTCTGTAACATTGGAAAGGTTACAATGTATGACAAAAAAAATGAGAAGAATCAAATTAGGCAGAAAAATAAAAGTTTCTCAAATCTGAAAGGATGGGAGAGTACTTTAGTATCATATTTCATGATCATCTTAATGATTATGAAACCATATCACAAATTCATACTCTAAGGACGTCTTAGTGCATTGTTATGGCTAAGAAGAGAGGTCATGAATTGTTGGATTGGTTAAAATCAAGAAGATGAGTCATACTTCGTTCCAAAACAATTCTTAGAGTCATACTCCAAGATTGTAACCTTGAGTGACATAAAGGAAGATTTATTAACACTAGTCAAATGTAAGAGTAAAATGTTTTCTACTCTTGTACATTTGAGATTGGTAAGTTGTGATGTCTTGGATGAGACAAAGACCAACTAAGACCAATTGTGTGAAGTGTTAGTCTTGATAAGAATCCACACTATCCCTTGAATATTTGTTTTGTCAAGGAATGGTTCTTGACTGGGGAAACTTATATGTCAAGGGGACAGTGGGAGCCTTA